TTTCAATTCCTAGAAGTTTGCTTAAGTTCATATATGAATCGGTTTAGTTTACATACCATGTGTTCCTGACCCCAAGCTATGAAACCTTGCGGTTGCATATATCCATTCAGGAACGCAGTTTTGACATCCATTTGCCAAATCTCGTAATCATGGCACACTGCTACAGATAGCAGGATTCTAATGCATTTAAGCATGGCCACCAGCGAAAATGTTTCCTCATAATCGATTCTTTCTTTCTGAGTGTATCATTTCGCCACAAGACGAGCCTTGTAGGTCTTAACCTTACCATTTGGGCCTTCTTCCTCTTATAAATCCATTTGCAACCAATTGCTTTTACCCCAGGGGGCAGATCCACTAGAGTTCAGACTTTATTGGTCTCCATTGAGTCCATCTCAACTCTCATGGCATCTACCCATTTCAAGGAATCTATATCCAACATAGCTTCCATATAAGTCACAGGATCCTCCTCACTGGTCGTGGCTTCCACTAAGTACTTTCTTAGTCATAGCCGAAACGGACCAAAGGCCTGGAAACCCGGGTAAATCTCATAGGTAGGTTGTTAATTGGAGCTTGTGGGACATCTCCCACTACCCCTGAGCTCTCCTCATCAAGAACACCTTGACGATGATTGTTTAGGATGTAATCATCTTCCAAGAAATGTGCATTTCGACTATAGAACACATTCTGTTCTCTTGGGTCATAGAATAAGTAACCCACAGAGCCTTTGGGATAGCCTATGAATAGGTAACGACTGGTCTTGGATTCCAATTTGTCCACACTCATTCTTTTAACATGCGGACAACCCCAAATCTTCAAGTGTTTTATAGTTGGCTTCTTACTAGTCCAAAGCTCATAGGGAGTCTTTGGAACTTATTTGGTTGAAACCCGGTTCAACACATATATCACAGCCTCTAATGCATAACCCTCAAAGGATGTGGGTAATTTTGAATGTACGAGAAATGATCGGACCATATCCAATAAAGTCTAGTTCCTCATCTCTGACACACCGTTTAGCTGTGGTGTAGCAGGATGAGCTAATTGTGATACTATCCCATTGACCTTTAAATAGTCCCTGAATTCGTCAGAGAGATACTCGCTACTTCGATCTGATCGAAGGGTCTTAATTTCTCTCCCTAACTGTTTCTCGACCTCTTGTCTAAATTCTTTGAACTTTTCAAAAGATTCAGACTTATGTCTCATTAGGTACACATAACCATACTGTGAGTAATCATTGGTAAATGTTATGAAGTAAACGTGCTGATTACATGTCCTAACATTCATGGGACCACATACATCAGTATGTATAAGGTCAAGTGTGCATGTTGATCTTTCTGGCTTACCATTAAATGGCCGTTTTGTCATCTTACTCTGAAGGCAAGGTTCACAGGTTTGAAGATCTTCTACAGTTAGAAAATCCAACGAACCATTCTTTGCCAAACTTGTAATACGATCTATGTTAATATGGCCAAGTCAGTAATGCCACAGGCACGTGGGATTGACTGTATCACGGGTACTTTTCTTGGGGATATCATCCGACGTAGTTTCAGTTATGTTTGTTTTCAGAGAAGGATAGAGAACATAAAAACCATTCTCAAGTTCTTCGTATACGAGGAATTTGTTATTTCTTTTAATAACAATCATATTAGTAAAGAGAACATAATATCCATCCGCACATAGTTTTGAAACAGAAATCAAATTTCTTCTCAAATTCGGTACATAAAGACAATCTTTTAATGTAATTGATCATTCTCTGAAATACAATTCTACAGTTCCTATGGTTGTAGCTGCAACAGTTGCAGAAATCCCCAAGTAAAGAATAACCTCTCCGTCACTCAATCTTTTGGTTGTCCTGAACCCCTGCAGTGAGTTACACGCATGAGTTGAAGCCCTAGAGTCAATACACCAGGAAGCAGAAATTACCAACATATTAGTTTCTATGACAAAGGATTCGAAATTACATTGTTTCTTGGTCTCCAGGTACCGATGACAGTTCCTCTTCCAGTGGTCGGCCTGCTTGCAGAATTGACAAGCATCTGATGCTTTGTCCTTCCTCTGCCTTTTGGTCTTGCTAACTTTCTTCTGAGGCTTCTTCTTTGCCTTCCTCTTCTTCTTGCTCGATTTGCCACATTCAACAAGCATAGCAATGGGCTCATCCTTCTTTATCAGTTCTTTGGCCCTCTACAATATATTGTTGAGTTCCTAGATGCTAACATTTAGCTTATTCATGTTATACTTCATGATGAATTGATTGAATGAAGGGGGCAAAGAATTTAGGATGACATCAACCTTGGTGACATGATCAAAGCCTGGATTGAAGAGCGTCAAGTTCATTGATGTATCCCATCGTCTTAAGACTATGGTCATGAACTTGCTGGTTCTTGGACATTTGCGCATTCATGAACTGTTTCAAGAACTTCTGACGAGTAGAACGATTCTGCTCCTCATACATCGCCCTTAGACTATCCAAGATATCATTGGACAATTCGATCTGATCGAACTGTCGCTGTATCGGATTATCCAAGGATGCTACGATGTAGCACCGGGCAAGAGAATTTTTCTCTTCCCATTCTTGATAGTCCCTCCTACGGGCCCCAGAAGCCCTATCACCCGGACGTTCCGGGGCAGGGTTTTTAGCTACCTTGTCCAATTTCTTGGACGTCAGGACTAGCATAAGGTTACGATACCAGTCAGCGTAGTTTGGGCCCTTAAGTTTGTTGTCGTCCAATAATTTAGCGCAAATTGGGTAGAATGCCTTTTGCCCATTTGCGCAGATCTAGATCTGGTTAATTTTGGATCAAGATTTGAACCTGGCTCTGATACCACTGAAGGGATGAGAGATCTATCATATGGATGGCCGAACCTTGCAGGATGGTTGGGCGAAATTTCAAAAAATTTCTCTTTTCCATGTGGGAATCACATTCCCTATTTTAGAAAACTGCATTTTCAAGGATCAATCTTGAACGTAAACCGGACCAAATCTGAAACCAAAAAGGGAGTTGAGGGATATACTTGATATGAAAGTAGTAAAAACCTCCAATGAAAGTGTTCACGCCCAAGGAAAGATCCAAAGACTGCTTCCACCAAAGATGACACGGTGCAGGATGAAGCAGAATCAGCAGGACGACTCTTCAGCAAGAACCGAATTCTTCAGCAAGAATCTGATGGAGGGCTAGTGAGCACGACTTCAGATTACCTTTTATGCCAAAAGGTAATATCAAGAACCCTTGATCTTTCCCACAGGTAGAGATCGAACTGGTATGGCGGCAAGAGCAGGAGAGAAGGAGACAGTGCAGTCAAACTGTGTTGCCCCTCTCTGGAATTCAGCAGTCAGTCAGATGATCTCTGATGTTTGTAGTGAGGGTTTTCCCTACTCTCCTATTTATAGCCTTAAAGAGAGGTTCTCCTAATCCCATTAGGAGTTTCCTAATCCAAATCTTGTATTTGGATCTGGACTCTCTTTAAGAGATAAGGATAACCCATTATCTTATCTACAGATAAAGATCAGCCCTCCTAATCTAATTAGAAGTTTCCTGATCCAAATATCTATTTGGATCTGGACTCTTTGAGTGGATATGGACAATCTCTTATCCTATTTGTTGATCTAAATCTTAGAACCACCCTCTTTCAATTAATCTCATTAAGCCAGTTCGATTTGGGCTTTAGGCCCATTAAGTCCATTTGTTCACTTACCCTCCAAACTGCTACCCAGTTAGATATCCTTGTATGCTGTGGGACCCAAACATTGATCTACACCTCAGTCACATGGGTTCAGCCCAGCCTCTGTTACAAAGCCTGGCCGAATTCATTGCTAAATACAATGAACCCCTGAGTCCATCACCATGGGCTCTTAATGGACCCAACATTTACACTAAATGGTCCTTGGGTCAAGCCACCTTATAAAAACCCAAGGACTGTGGGCAGATGCAAGATTAGCCCATCAGGTATTACCTTTCAGTGGTCTTACACTTAACCTCTCAGCCCATAATGATCAAAC